TTTGTAATGTGCACCTGTATGCATTATCAAAGTTGACTGTTAAACTGATAAACAATGGTTGTCAATTAATGTGTGCTCCTTGGGTGCCGTTATCTGCTTCTTGTCAGTGCTTGCTGTCATCTACATTTTTGTTGCTAGACAGCTTTTACCGTGCAAGTTATTAAAGTGCTTGTTTTTTGTACTGCAGCTTTTTGTACTGCAGCTTGTACTGCAGTTTTTGTATCTATCATGTTTGTTTCCTATTCTTTAGTATCTTTCTTGTCGAATAATTCTCACCATGATAACTATCAATATTTCAGGATCGCGTATTCACAAATTGAACAACACAATCATTCCTACGGATTACTTCAATTACATTTTCTGGTGCAACCCTTTCCCATGATTTTTCACTTTTTTGTTTTATGTGGCAAGTAAGAAATGCATCATTGAATTATAATCCAATGAAAATAATTCCTGCAATGAGATCACTCCATGATTTATATAATTCGTTTAGCTCAAAAAACTTATTTAACCATTATCAACATTATTACCATATCGCCAAATGAATGGGAGCAGTTCATTCCTTAATTTTTAGAAAGGAGAAATGAATTGCCATTTGGTATGATATAATTGAAAGGATAAAATGAAGACGAGAAAAGCAGATGCCAAGAATTCTCGAGCCGGAAATCAACACATACACACCTAACACACACAGCACTCATTTCATTTCTTCCTCTGTTTTCACTTTGCTTGAACTATAAGTCGGGAAAAAAGGGGAAGTTGGAAGTTGAAAAGATCATCTGTTACTGTCACAAATGTTATCAACTCGTCATTTGTTATACCCTTTAACTGACAAATGTATGCTGCAAGAAGCGCTAATCCATTAGTGGAAGGAACAGTTAATCACGCAAGTTTACTTGTATCATTGCTATTTGCACAACCTTTTATCTGTCTATTAAATTTTGCAAGTTTTTTTCTTCCTTCTCTTTCATTTCATACTTTTAGCTTGGCAAATAATATCTGACCTCTTCAAACAGTTTACTCCATATTCTGGAAATAAAACTTCTACTTTCCTTTCTTGTTAATGTGGGATTTTTGTTTCTTCATTGATGTCTTCCGAATAAAATGCTGACTTGACATTTCATCGTATTATAAAACGTAACACTAGTTTAACGTATGGCGTAACACGTTACCTTAAGGCTGTGAGTAAATCACACAGTATAACATGATGTTATATTTTGTGTTAGGCAACTAAATTGGATGAGAAAAAATTGCTTGCAGTGTGATAGTCGGTGTCAACTTCTAAAATGCAAGACTATTTCCTTTTGATGTAATAACAGGTCAAGATGTATTTGTAAAATATTTTTTGTTTTTATTTTTTGATATATATACAATGATATATAAATCTCAGTAACTGGTTCCAGAAAGTTTACCATTGAAGAATAATAATATTGATGAGATACAAAAATTTTTAATGCATATTTCAAGATGTTGTGGAATTTTCGATGCGGCAACTGACGAGAAATCCAAAATTTCTAGCATTTATGCTTGTCGTTGGTTGGTTGCTCATATGTTTTTTGTTCCTTTTTGTTCTTTGGATAGTATTTTATAATTATTAATCGTTCATTTGGGATGCCATTTTATCAAATGCATATTTTTGTTGGAATTTAATCAAAAAAGGATATTTGATTACGGTATCAAAATTATTCCTTAAGTAAGCTGAATTATTTTATCTGCACTACATCCCTTCATTCCAAACGAGAAATTTAATCCTTTTTAATGTGATAGCAAAAATCAAAGCATAAATTTCTTCTAAAATTGAAATATTATCGGACTGTAAGTTAAGAGAAAATTACAGCTTTCGCTGATGCAAGCAAATTATCGCATTGTTGTACAAGTGGTAAGAGACATTTTGAGCAGTCATCATCGTGTACGGAAATAAAGCTTAATGAAACGGCAAATACCTGTATCCTGACGGCATCGATATGCTGCATGGATACATTACTGGAGCACAACTGTAATCATGGTATGAAAATGGCTGAAAGAGAAGATCAATGCTTACTGAATACTGATCAAGTTGGCGGAGGAATCCGTAAGGTAATTATCAATCAGCTTTGTTTGAATACAATGTTAGGAATAGATTGAAAATTTTCGTGCATAATCTAAATTTTAATACCCAATTGCAATCTGTGTTTTAATTTGTATAATGTAATAAATTTAACTGAAGGAATGTTGTGAATGCTGCCTCTTGGCCAAGGAACTATCACGAAATGATAAAAGCTGTATAGCACCAAATGGTTTTGGTGCAGCATGTTTACGGTCCTTTCATCAGTGCTGCCCTGAAGACGCAGTATCAAAACATGTTTCAAAGCATCACCGTTATGAAAGTTTATAATTATTCTCTTGTCACATTTCTAGAAAAAACTCAATCCCTTTGTAGTAGCACCATGACAAGCTATGCAAGCGATGCACATCTTTGATCAAATATTCTCACCCACTCACAAATGCTAGATCAAGATTTAAAACGTGGAATTATCAAAAGTATTACCAAAAATCTGATCTGAAAAATTTATCAAAAATCTGATCTAAAAAATTTAGCAGACTATATAAACAAAGCATTTAACATTTAATAAAGCTATAGTTCAAGAATCAGTAATCGCAGTTTACTTTCTGAACGCAATGAATAAGCATATAAATTATGTTTGATATCTTATTTTGGCCTATAAATAAACAAAATACAAATAAACCTAGCATCGTTAAAAAGTTAAATATTTCCAGGTCATTCGGATTTGACGGATCTTCTGAGTGTCGGAAATCGTTGTGCATCTGCTAAATGTAAACATCTGTGTACGGATCGAGGAGGTGCCACTGTGGAATGTTCCTGCCGTACCGGTTATGAATTAGGATCGGATGGTTACTCTTGTATCGGTTAGCGAATTTTTTTGTATGGCCGAAACCTAGAGATATTTTGCTGCACCTTTCTATTGCACAATTTTGCATATGCTTAATTTTTCAATGAGTGCTTACCTGCATTGCAATTGAACCATCATTCGGCACAATGTTGTAAAGCTTTTTGCATTTTATTAAGAAATGTTTAACCCACTGCGAAGTATGTCTTTTTTGGTGATAATCTTTGAATAAAGTGGGATGTATCAACTGCGAACAGGTGGTGTAAGGGAATTTCGCTTGAGTACCAGTACTGTTTGTGCGCCGAATGAACGATACGAGGAGACGATTGATGGGGGATATCGTTGTTTAACGGAGGATGGTTATCAGAATGATAGTACCATGAATGCACGCAATTTCGCGGAAGCGAAAACAGCCCTTGGATCGGATGCTATGAAGCATCAAGCGATCTTAGGAGAAATTGAATCGAAAAACATGTGTCGCGATGGTTGGGATTTGTCACCTTCAGGACACTGTATAGGTAACATTACTTTAAATCTTACGCTCCCTTCTTTTTTGATGACAAATTCATTTTGTCCTACATTCGTGCTCATATAATGTCATCATTGCCAGCAATTTATTACATTGCCATGTCTGTTGCAACTAATCATTATTTCCGTGAAAACCTATTTTTTCAAATGTCGTTAATTTTATAAAAATTTCCAGTTGTAAAGCGGTAGTCAGTATCACATTCCACACCGTATTTTGCATGCCTGCAAACTGCATTTTGCATGCTTTCTAGCAAATTTTAATGTGTCTGTAGCCGTTTTGCCCTGTTTGTTTTGCAAAAAAAAATCTTTACCAATTTTTATCACCTAAAATTAATCCCATTCGTTATAATATCTTTGAAATTTCCGGTTTGGTAATGCAAGTCAAATTTGTTTTAAATAAGTAATTGGCAAATATGGAAGGTAATCATGATATTTGAGGACAATATTTGCAAATATGAATAGCCATCAATAGATCGGCAGTGGGAGCTAAACCTCTCGATAATTACGTCATTAGTAAGATGAAATGCCACACCGTTGTTGCTTCACTTGCATCATTGATGAACTGAAGTCACGATGAATGAAATTTTTTTTCTTCAGAACCACTTGCTTTCCAGATTTTTGCTTTTTGATAGTCCTTTTAATGTCATAATTGTCAGCTATATTATTTCTTTTTTGCTACCCAAGAAGCCAGGCTTCTAGACATAAACGAATGCGATACACGGGATTCGGTGTGCCTACTGCCTAATTCGTTATGTCTCAATACACCTGGATCGTTCTCCTGCGTCTGCTTACCGGGCTTCTACTGGAGTGTTGTCGGCTCCGTTTGTGTAGGTAATTTCTTGCACAAAATGCAAATGTCGGTTACCTATTTTTTATTCCCCTTTAAGTTACAGTATATATAAATTTATTTGTAGCAGAAATCACTCAGATTAGTGTTGTTTAACTTTTGTAACAGATACAAGTTAGACTTTTGATATCAAATCAGTGATGGGCCTCTGATAACGGATGAATGCCGTCATTGCTACATTATCACAAATCTATACACACACAATTATTATGAGTTTTCAAAATAAAAAAATAAATTAGCTCGCTTTAAAAACTTAAAAAAAAAGAGGGAAAAAAAACTCTAAACTGGAATGCAAACCAACGCTTTCATATTCTGATTGATATTTGCTGTGGTTTTTTTGATCTCAGATATTGATGAATGCTTACTACTAGCGGATGATTGTTCGGAAAGTCAACGTTGCTTGAATACCCCTGGCTCATTCAAGTGCATACGAACATTATCCTGTGGTACCGGATATGCGTTGAATAGCGATACCGAACAATGCATTGGTTTATTTTACTTCAATCTGTTCCTCTTTTTACGTTTTATATTCATTTTACTAACACTACGAAAATTTCAATACTATCTTTTAGTTTTTAGTTCTTTTACTTTTTATTTTTATATTATCTTTGGCAATTTTAATGTTGCTTAACACTTAATGAGATTAGTAATTAACAGCGGTAACAAGTATAGCTTAATTGGTTTCCTTTGTCAAACTGATTTCATTACCACAATAGTGTGATCTTTATCTTAAACCAAAACAAATGATAACGATTATAGTACTGAATATATCGTTTCAAAGAGTTTTTGCAATCAATATTTTTTTATCCGAGAATGGATCCTTCCCCTTCATTTTGCTGTCCTGTGGAAATCAGATTGACTTTTCCGAAATGTCATATGATTAAAATAAATATTAAGTGTGACTTCTGGCTATTAACTTAATAGGTTTTAATAAAAGAAAGGAAGCGTGTAACTATTGATAGATGTGGATGAATGCAATCTTGGTTCTCATGATTGTGGACCGCTATATCAATGTCGTAATACGCAAGGCAGCTATCGTTGTGACCCGAAAAAGTGTGCCGAAGGTGAACTGATGAATCCACGTACCGGTGAATGCACAAGTATTGACTGTCCCATTGGTTATAAACCAATTCATGGTCGTTGCGAAGGTTCCTTTCTCAATTTTTGTTTCTTGAACTTATAAAAAAAATAGATAAATAAAACTGTATTTTCGATATTTCTTTCAAAAATTTAACGAAAGCAAAGACTTACTTTTGCAATTCGGAGAGGATATTTGAGATAGTGCCTAAATTTGTAGATGTTAACGAATGCGAGACAGCGGGACGATGCGCGTTATTTGAAGAGTGCATCAACACTCCCGGATCATTTCTTTGTCAGGAACGAGGAAATCTATGTGCAAATGGTTACCGCATGGATCGAGATACTGGATTCTGTGTTGGTAAATATTGTTGAATGTAAGAAAAAGCATTGTTTCCAAGATAAAATGATAAGGCATTTGGCGAAAAAAAAAAAGATTCAGAAACGTGCTGCAGTGTTAGGCAAGGTATAAGCAAGGTAATACTTGAGAATAGGTTAATTGGTTGTTATCATGAGCTTTTATTTGATTCTAAGAACAAGGATGTGTACCACGCAGAAGCATGATTTATGATGAAAAAAATTGTATGATATATTTGTTGAAAGTGAAAAAAAAATCTGCTTCTTACGTTGGTGATGGCATCCACTATTGCTATATCGCACATATGCCTTAAACTTTGCTTACTTTAGACATCAATGAATGCTCCGATGGGACTCATTTCTGTGGTGACAAACAGTGCATCAACCTGTTGGGTAGCTACAAATGTCGTTGTTCAGCCGGTTTCGAATTCAATGATACGGTAAGTTAGGAGCACTGGATTAAAATCTGGTTGAAGGGAAGGAATTCTCATAGTTGTGTCAAATTCCTATTCTTATTTAGCCATTTTATAATGTTTTTAATAATTACCTGATAAAGGTTTTCCATATATCTCAATATTTAATGAAACGAGTATGTTATCACTATAAACAATATATTATAGACGAAACGTTGCGAAGACGTGGATGAATGCAAAAAGTTTGCGGGACACGTTTGCTCGTTGCATGCGACTTGCGAGAATACGTATGGATCATTCAAATGTCATTGCAAAGATGGGTTCCATATTGCCAAAGATGCGCGAAACTGTGAAGGTTAGTTTAATAGGTTTGGATATGATTAATGCTAATATTTAAAAATATATGGAAACGGAGAGGCGGAAAAGAGGAAGAGGAACTAATTGCAGTTCGGTTCAAACTGGAAATCTTGGCCCCGTAACAACCTATGCCAGCTTCTGTTTTCCTCTCTGAGGTTCTAAAGTTCGTGAAAAGTTTATCTATTATATTAGTGAACCTTCATTTCTTAGGTATAATCGTCAACTTTCAAATATAGTGAACTTCAAACTTACAAATTATAGACATTGATGAATGTAGTCTTGGCACAGCAAACTGTGCGCAGAAGTGTATCAATATACCAGGGAGTTATCAGTGCATTTGTGAGCACGGTTATCGCCTTGGTACTGATGGAATTACCTGCGAAGATATTGATGAATGTACTCTTTGGGCCGGTTCAGGTATACACTTATTCAACTATAACAAGGTATATATAAATAACTAATGTAAATAACACTTGACTTGAGTAATATAAATAACGCTTGACTAAATTTTGTTTCTATGTTGAAGATGATGACCTCTGTATGGGCAGCTGCATTAACACTCCAGGTTCCTACAGATGTCAGTGTCCTGCTGGTTACGAAATACAAGAAGATGGCCGAACATGTAAAGGTGAGAGCCATTTTGATAATTTTGCTTTTAATTTTTAAATAAAATTCAAAGATTTCCATGCTAGCATTTTTGAAATTGATGCAAATTTTGAGTTGTGAAATGATTTACTGCAATATCAGTTTCCTCCGAAAATAACTTGGCTTGTAGATATTGATGAATGCGCCAAAGGTGAATGCCAAGGGAGCGATCAGATTTGTGTAAATACATTGGGAAGCTTTAAATGCCATGTAATACGTTGCCCATCGAATTATGTTCACGACAAAAATTATAAAAAGTATGGCATTTGTCAAATCTTCGAATGAAATTTCGAGCATGATTTTTGATCCTTGTCCTTTGTTTGATTCTTCTTCTGCTTATCCAACAAACCAAAGAAAAGAATTTGGTGCTGAAATTACCACTAACTTACGGATGAAAAGGCTAATAATCTTTTAATTGCATGTTATCGGTATTTCGATTCACCGATTCACCTTTTGCAATTTAGTCGCTGTAACCGACTAAGCCATTTATGCGAGTCATTAACTGAAGAAGCGTGTAAAAATTATGCGATACGCATAAGTTGGGAGTTTACATCCATACCAAGGCAAGAACCAATTTCATCTAGACGAACTTCCATCACACTCTTTACTGTTCGTGGTCCAACGTCACCTTCAAGCAGTGTTCAGTTCGAGTTGAAGTTGAAAAGCGCTACACCAGGTTTTTTTTTAGATATGGTTTCATAAGCTGGTTTTAATCTTAATCAACCTCAATAGTGATGAGGTGCTGCCGTATATTGAATTAGATTTTGAGTTATTTCATATTCACAAAGAGATTTTAGAGTAAATAGGCTGCCATTGATTGTTTTGCTTCAGTTTAGCTGACTAACACATTTCGCAAGGTACTTTCAAGCTTCTTGAAATTTGCCCCTACCCTTGTTCAATATTGTTCAAATCACCAGTGTCATAAAGTATTTAGGCCGGATTTTATGAGACATAAACAAGGATAAAATCAGAAGACTCTTACGTAAAGTTCTTTTTCATAATCTAAGAGATTTTTCTCTTCTAGAACGACTGGTATGTATATTTTTTCAGAAAAATTCTATGTGTTACCAGCAGTTCGAAGTAATTTTCTCTTGCAAAAAAGTGAAGAAAAAAATGGAGCAATAATTGCTCTGAGAGATTCACTGGATGGACCGCAGGAGGTCATTTTAGAGCTTATTCTAAGACTTAGTATTGACGGTGTATTTCAGAGTAAATATATCGCTAATTTAGTGATCTATGTTGCTCCACACCGCAGACAACGAACAGCTCCTTTTTCTGAAAGTCTAACTCCATAAAATTTGCAAAATTAAGACAGTTTTCCTTTAGCTGAACAAATAGCAGAATTAGCCTTACTTCAAAAAGCAGTCGATTTACACATGGGAAAACTTGCGAGCATTCTTTCATAATATTTTACTTGACTAACGTGTATTGAAATACTCAAACAGATAGTGAATAATTGGACTGAAATTTTAAATAATCAACTTATTTGTGATCACTTAGTGATCTTTCTTCCTTCTATGCACTAGATTAAAATCAAGTATATTGTAAGTATTTCTTATTTGATTTATGACCTCCTCAAAATATCTGCAATAATTCGTTTTGACAGTAGGAATCATACGGAAACTTCGCCGGATAACTGACTGATCTTAGAACCATATGCTATCGTTTCCATTTTGAGCGAATGTTCATATCATCTGACGTGAAGTCGCACATGTGGATAAAATTAGGCTGTAGTTCTCTTTCAAATTCCTTTCTTTTTGTTTGTAAATTGTAGTTTTGCTCAATTTGCTGATTAGTCAATCACACTAATATATCTCTTTTATGGGACCTTTCAATAATCTAAATTTTTAACACAAGATTTGTAGTACCGGTTAGTACGGTGTTCATCATCATGTTGGCATCTTTTTGATGATCTTGATTGTTTAACTCTTCTTGTTTGCCTATCACTCCTTGTTACTAACACAAAAATCATGGACTGGAAAGAATTTTTACTGTAAATGGCAAATAACCTCAGCTCATTCAGGTAAAGATAATATTTGCGCTCTTTTCTCCTGTTATACTTAATGCTTTTCTTTAATGACAACATAGAAATAAATGCAAAATGTTCTGTTACTTCCCCAATACGATCGATTTTTTTTTTTTTTTTTTTTTAGTGAATGCATTTCCAAAGGCATTCTTGGAAGTTTTTCAAGATAGTCATAACCTCAACATCCCATAAGACCAAAGTTGACAGTTGAATTTTACATTGGACCGAGCATTCTAATTGATATTCGTATGCATCTGAAATAACAGATAGGCTCAATGAGGGTTCCACGTGATGGTTTTCTAATGTGGATCTCATTTGATGTAGTGGTATTCCTAGAACCACTCTAGTTATATTTGTCTTTCCAAGTTAATGGCTTTGGCGTCCCTTATTAGATTGTTTCTTGTAAATAGCATTTAGAGAATGTTCTCTACAATACAAAAGATTTTATCGTTAATTTGTTAATTTTTCATGCAAATTAACTATTGTATTGGATGTTAGGTTTGATAAACTGATAAACGCATATACATTTTTGTTATCTAACACAAAAACTGCAGCAGCATAACAGACATGTAAACTAACAGATTGCTAGATGACAGTGCGTGGGAGATGAAAATGATTGAAACCCTAAAACCGGGAAAATTACCGACTCACAATACGGTTTGAGGCCCTCTGCTAATATAGCTGTGTTGCTTGCTTGTTACTTACCAACTTAATTTTTATTAAATTGGTTCCACAGTTCTGTTGGGCAACAGAAAAATGCATTAAAAAATCATTTTTTAACTCACTGCATAGTATTACAAACTCACCAGTTACAGTATCCAGGATGAGTTGTAAGCTTGTGTGTGAAGTTCATGGATACCTACTGCTTCCTTCTCAATTACTCCAATGACTCATCACCATTTTGACATTTGGCAATACTCAAAACCATCGTTTGCGGTTTAGTTGTTGACGAAGACGGTGAATTGAAATGGATTGCAGTTCGGTGGACGATGGTTATTCCTGCTTAAAACGATGTTATCCAAGTGATCCAGTCTGTATCAGTAATTATACCCGAGAGATATTATATCAGTTCAGAGGTTTACCATCCATAAAACACATAAGATCTCCAATCGAAGTTAGCCATTGTGTTATTTAACATATTTTTTAAACTATAATCCATAATGAACTTTTCGGGCAGTAAGGTGATAGGTGAAATTATGCAGCAAGAATTAGTTTCAATTTTATTTTTGTATATAATTGACAAAAAACAACGTAGGTTTTTTTTTTTCTTATCATAGGTTTCTCGTGTACGAGCGCAAATGGATACGCCGTTTTCAGTGGAGTATAAGATCGATAAAGCGAATCGAGACACATTTATGGTACAACAAGATCGTAATATAGGTAAAATATTTTGGGAATAATAAAGGATAGTCTACACTGGAAAATGAAGAACTTATAAATCCATTCTAGTTTTCCCTCACTTAACTTAGAGATTGTTTAAAATGCTTCGTTCATATTTTGAGAAACAATATGTAAATGAACAATTCTGCCAAAAAAAAAAAAAAAAAAAGGAAAAAATACATATCACTTTCAGTAATAAAATCTGAGTTTCAGGAAATTATCGATTTTTTTTTAAACTAAAAAATTAGGACAGTAAATAAGTAGTCAAAGTGAATCGAGAAAGTAACCTTTTAAAGTATCTTTGAATGTTGAATTTTACAGGGATTGTAAAAATGATAACACCTATCAATGGGCCAAAAGCGGTTGTGGTAAGATTACACCTTAATATCTATTCACGGTCTCATGTACTTCTAGCACATAATATTGCTATTATAACTGTATATGTTTCACCATATACATTCTGAGTATTGTATGACTTGATATGTCATCTTAATGTCATATTCTTACAGATCTTTTTAAGTTTTGTTTATATCCATGCTAGATTCCAAATCAATACAGTAATTTCTACCTATATCGGAGGAAAATGGAGTAAACAATGTATAAAAATTATTCATATCCCTCTTCCTCCATCTTTTAACTTAGTGAATCTGATCAAATTAGCATCGACAAGTTTCTTTGCACTCGTTTCACCCGACCACATTTATTTGCTTCACAGTGCTTAAATTCTGCAGCCTATTTGAATCACCCTTAGCAGTACTTTCTATGTCAGAATCATCTACTTTGCCCCATCAATTCACAATGGACTTTACTGTCTTGCGTATTCTACGGAGGAAACTGAAATCTGACAAAGCAGTGCATGTTTCTTGGATCTACGTGTACCAGTCTCGTTGTCATAATAAAATGTATATATTGTAGAATAAAAGTGTAAATCGGCAAACAAAAGTTAGAGGAAGGAATTATAAATAGAAGTAGTCATTCAACATGAACATCATCAGTTTGAAGTCCAGTAAATCGGTTGGTGGAACAAGGACTCAAATCTTTTAGTGTTACGGTAAATCCCAATGGCTTCCAACCTGTAACTGAGAAACAACCTCTGAATAAGCACAGGATATAAACCTTGATAAGTATGAATTTAATTTTGGTTAACCGACAGCCCGCGAGATACATGGCATACAGTAACGGCAACAAGAAGAAATCAAATACCGAAAATTTCGAAATCGTAACTGATTTTGAAGTGTTTTCAAGCCTTTATACTGAATCATAAAACTCATTTTACCTCTGGATTTTCATACTAGTTTGCTTTCTACCGACCTATAGAGAAGCAGATGATTTGCAACTCAGAAGGGAGATAAGACCAAAAATTTGACTTCCAACTGATCACTGCAAAAACTACCTTTCGCATTATAAAGTTCATCCAAACACTCAATAATAGGAAGTTTTCCAGTATCCAAGAAATTACTCGATTACATTTACATTTGAGAAATGTTCTGAAGCCTGTAAACTCCAATGGTTTCGCAACCCACGAATAAGCGGCTGCGTATGTTAAGTTCTGGACTCTTTCGAAATTCCTTCACAGATATTCAGAAGTTAATAACAGACTAAGACAGAACTGCTACAAAGAGCTAGGCTTCGCCAACTTCCGTGCTTCATTCATTGTTGTAAGGACGGCAGAAGAGTGAAAAGGAAGGTAAGGTAAGGGAGAGTGTTCATCTTCCATAGTTGTTTATAAAATTAAAACTGATACTTTTTAGTTATGGACGAATGTATTTTTGAAGCTATGGATGTATAGGAAAAGTTTGGGAAAAGTTACACAGTGTTACATAATGCAAATAAATCTTGGAGCACAGTATGATGCAAGTAATAAAATGTACAGTGATATATCCAACATGAAGCATCATGAAAGACATTTTTTTCCAAAAACGACAGCATAAATTTACCAAGAGAAAGAATAAAAAGGCAAAACAATTAAAACGCTTCACGCAATTCTATATAGAATTTACCTTAATAATAGTGTTAAACTGTATGCGTCCTCTTAGATTCAGATACAATAAGAAACATATTTTGGAAGAATTCATTTGAAGAGGAGAAGGTCTCGCACAGGAGTGGTAGAATCTGAGGGTAACGGTTTTATACCAAGTAATTTCTTGATTTTAGGATGTCTGAATGCGAAATGTTGTATGGATCCGGTCAGAGAAACAGACAACCAAAACAATGGAATACACTGAAACAAGTTGATTTTAACCTTTTCGTACGCGACTTAACAACTTAAACCTTCTCTCATCTTATACACGAACAAAAAGAAATGTGCAAGAATTTCGAAATGTTTAATTTTTTTCCGGTCCTTATAAGGACAAAAGAAACTACAGGTATAAGAACAAAAGAAACTTACCACAGGCATATATGACATGAAATATATACCAAAAATCATGAATAACGAATAACAAGCATTGATAAGTGGCATCAGTTTAACCAAATTGTAAGCATATACACGCTGCTGCGCCTGAAATAGCGTAAAACAAACCACAAAAAAACATAAAATAAAAACGTAAAACAAATCTATCAAGATATATCAAGTTAACATTACAGAAAGCTGTAATAGCTCAACTGGCTTTACACATGCCATTTCAATAACAGGAAGGGTAAACAATCAGCCCTAACAGTACTAGCATTGGCGATTGGAGGATCTTTTGCAAAAGTACTTATGTTTTTAATTTTTCAGCAATGTTATAAATGTAGTTAGAGCAATAACCTTATGCTTAAAATATGACTGCATACAGCACTTTTCAAAGTTGCAAGAGAATCGATGTTTTTAAAAGAGAACTTACAAAATAATTGAAGATTCCTAAAATACCAACTGATGCCGGTAGAATATAGTAAGGATCAGGTTGTAACAAATCCGGAAACCATAAGATGCCTTGAAAAGGGTAACCAGTTTCCGCTGAAACAATAAACTGCACCAAAAATCCTGCAGTGGTTAAGACTGTATCAAAATCGCCAGACGAGAATTCAGTTAAATGAAACAAAGAATTCGGGAAAACTATCTGTACAGAAACCATAAATATGGGAAGTGTGTTAGTAATTTGAGGAGAAGCTCAAAGGAAGAGTTCAAAGCAAAGCAACTAATACTGACAACTTATGACATTCCGAATCGCAAATGAAGAAAACGTCCATATTGACAAAGCGCAGAACTTCACGTACTGAATGCGGGAAAGTTGTAATCGATGTTTCCAGCAAACATCCAATATGATTTCTTTAGACTGAAAAAAAACTCATTTTATTGAGCACTTGGAAAAACTGAAATTCAAATTCTCAGAAATTTCGAGTTCTCGAGGAAACTTCCATCAATTTCAACTTTCAGAAATATTGACCTACCAGTTTATTGGTTTTTTGCAATATGGATTTATCAGCAGTATCAAGCTGCAAGAACCGGCCATTCTTACTTGAAATAACAGACAAGTTATAATGCTTGCTGAACTTCTGAAATAGCGTATTTAATAGAGAAGCTTAATGCGACTGTCATGCTTACCTCTTTACTTAAATTGATCTCCATATTCGTTTGTTTACTGACTCATAAAAACAAGATGCGCGATTACTAAACCAAACAGTTTTGGATTCGAAAAATTCACCAACTTTAATGAGCTCATAATTCAAAGTGTTCACAACACGGTATCTTTCAGCGGACAGTCGTTCTGCATATATATGCAGCGGCAAGCTGGCAAAACGAAATAGCACCCCGGAGAGCATAAATGTGCCAACCCATGGTATTTCCAATGAATGTATGCCTCAAAAAAGTTGAATTTTTGGATACATGTTTGCGACCCATAAGCAATAATAACTAAATAAAAATTAATGTTGAAGGTTGTTTTGAAAATACATCACCTTTCCGTGTAATTTTTTTCTATCCAAAGATTAACAATTGATCGTAAGCTATGAACAGCAAAAACAAAAAAGTTGTAAAGGAGATTTTCGAGAATGCAAGATCAAAGAGTCCGGAAACGTCCTCCAATCTCTGAGAAATGAGTAACCAAGACGGAAGTGTCTACGGGTAGTTTAGAATAAAGCTCAGTGAGGCTGACTAAGCTGACTAACCCATCATTATCGACACCTCTTTTCGTCTTAACCAAAACAAGGTCCATGTACCTAAACAATTACGGAAAATAACCTTCAATAGTAAATTGTAGAAATTTTGTAAAATAGCACGACTCAGCATACAGCAATGGAGTGAGTGGGCTGAAACCATGTAGTCTTCTTGACAATACCATCGAACACATTACATAATTTGTCGGGTGCCGATGCACCACGAACTTCATTAACAATGGGCATAACACTAAAATGATTATTATTACGATTTATATCACCTAATTCAATAAATAAATCCTTTCTCCGGAGATATGATTCTTCCAAGAAATCCCTAAAGTTGACAGAAAACTTCGCTATTTGACAGCAGAAATTACTACATGCAACTATTTGCACTATTTCCTGTAAATTTTGTATGGAGAAAAGGGATTAATCCATCTATACTATCAACATACAGTGTTTCTGTCATTCAAGTTGCTTCATTTAACCTATTGTAAGCTATTTTAGCCCACTTTAAATCACTTACTTTAAATTACTTAAGTCGTTGTGACAACTTCGTGTTTACTAACACAGCAAAGTGGTAATAAGATGAGTACTGCAACGAAATTTCATCGCTGATTTAGAAGGAAGGGCCTTCACACTCTCGGTACCACAAAGATGTGATTAGTGGAACTAAAACCTGGAAATAATCAATTTCTGGAGAGACACACTAACATTCATTTAAGCGAAACTATGCGCTGGGAAATGAAAAGCGAAAGTAGATACAACCGCGAAAGTTCATTCATCTACTGCTGAATGTTATCCCGACACAAATTACAACACCATCTGATCCCATTCTTTAAAACTCTCGATAATGAATTTACACCAATGCAGCAAGGAAATCTCGGAGATAGGTATTTTACGGTTAGCCGCCGTTTATTGTAATAGAATCGGTTAGGTCCAGCAACATGTCGAGGATCTTGCGATCTTTATTATTGGTGGTTAAATTGGTGGCGATATTATTTTGTCATCGAATTTCCCCTTATCTATGTTGTAATACTCTGTAATGGATTTCGTCTCTTTCCTCTCCACTAATTCCTTTTCCAACTGGGAATGTTAAATATCCACATCAGATTTGTTAATTCAGAAGATTTGAATTGTGGATTCTGTGTCATGATTATTTCATCGACCACTTCGCTGGTATATATATATATATATATATATATGTCTTTTCAGCTCCTCTCTATCACACATCCTCAAATGGCGGAGGAAATTGCAACGGCTGTTGGTAATATATTTATTGATGAATCGGATCATAAAAGTCAGAGCGCAAGGTGTTGTCCTCCTTCTCTTCCTTTCGTTCTCCTTGTCTGTAGAGAGGATTATTGTATATCTGAGAGTACGGTTAATTTTCACCATCTAATTTGCTCCGTATTATCCAAGTTATGTTTCAGATTGAAGGCATTACTGCAATCCATACTGATTTCTAGCAATAATGAGAAAGATATCAGCAGTAATGTTAGTCGGATAGCGGAAGCTGGTAAATTTTTTCAGTACTCTTTTTATGCAGTAACTCTAGAACAAGCTCCATTTCGCAGTTTATCTGTTGAGTCAGAGAGCAATAGCAGTAATTCTGATTGAAGTGATTTGTGCTATTTGAATAATTGTGGGAAAAAATTTCCATACAAAAGCCATGGAAATTCCATACCAAATCAACATACCATTACTTTGATATGGAAATTTCATACTAAAGAAATGGTATGTTGATCCAGATAGCGTCCTAATAAATCTTGGTGTTTTTTCTATATAAATTGAATAACAAAATTATCAGTTGATTTATTTACTGTTCCGCAGGAAGAGTTACAAACGAATGCGTTATTTATAGTTGTCAATAAAGAGACTGTCTCAATGGTAGTATCCAGACAATTCGTTACTGACATAGTCGCAGCGCTGGATGATTTAAAGCCAAGTCTTGTGAAAGAAGTCGCTAAGGCTTTATTAAATATTGTGCAGTCACGCCTAATTTCTTACGAGGAACAAGTAATATTCACTATATGCACTATAGTGCATTTTTTCGATTCATATATGCCATTTCTATGTTTATAATTTTGCATGCGTTTCAGTCATAGTTTCACATGTGCTGTTAGACAGTTTTACTACTGCAGTAGATAGTTCAGTAGACAAACTATTAATATTGTTTAAGTTTTTTTTAATTCATGATAATGTTTCAGGTAACGCAGTTGCGTTTTCGACTGGCAGACTTGTACGAAGGGGATGGTGATAGTGGGGAAGCGGCGAAAATACTCATGGCTATACCTCTGGAGACAGGACAAAGGTAGAAATTTGTGGCATTAATGTATATGTTGTCAAATTTTTCTATAAATATCAATAAGAAATTTGAGCGAAAATCATTTTCTCAGCAATATACCTAAGTTTATGAAATGACGATAGAATAGTGGAATGTTTGAGCACTCAAGGTGTATTAAAAATATCCAGTACTGCTGCGGTCGGCTTTTCGTAAATTTTATTGTGAAATAATTATGCAGTCTTTATTTCCTTCTTTTTCTACGAGTTCCTAATCAAATAGGATACCGTATTTACGTATCGGGAACTGTATTTATACCATATTTTTTCTCTGTTAAAGATGTAGGATACATAACTTGGTAATTTCAATTTTTTAATTTCGAAAAGTGGATTTCAGGACGTACTCTCCGGAATTAAAAATGCGTACATACTTGAGGATAGCGCAGCTAGCATTGGACTGTAAAAATTCGGAAGAAGCGGAAAGTTTTGTTAATCGCGCTTCAATGTTGTTCAACGATGTTTCGAAAGATAACGAACTAATTGTGATATTCAAAGTGAGAAAGAAATGAAGAAATTGGATTGTTGTTCTTTTTTTTTTCCTTTTATTTAAAAAAGAATCATTTAGAATAAAACGGAATTATTATTTATTGCAGAAACTGGGAAAAGGTTTCATCTAGTAAGAAGTAAATTAGATCAAAATATGTGTATTTCAAAATTCCTTCAAATGTATGCTTTAAGTTTTTGCATAAAATTAAAAAATTAATGACCATACCTGACGAAACAGTTCTTTAGTCTCTGTACGCAAAAGTGTTAGATCATCGGAAGAAATTCATCGAAGCTGCGCAGCGATACTATGATCTCTCGTTGTTCCAAAATATGCTCACTACCTCCGAGAAATTGCAAGCACTTACGAACGCTATTTCTTGCACAGTTTTGGCTTCACCAGGTCTCATGCAGCAACATTTTTGTTTGTGTTTAATCTTAAAAATATGGACTTCAGTATGATTAGAACGTAATTATTGGTTTGACAATAACTGAACTAATTCATAAACTTGTAGCTCACCGGAACATGCTCAAAATTGATTTTCTTCACTATTCAGAATTGATAGATTCTTTAAATTAAGCATGTGGCAGGTAAACGAATTTCATTAGGTTCTAAGGGGCGATCATGAAGGATATATCGTGCATGCGTTATATAGAGAATATGTGGTTCAGATCGATAAAGTTTTGTTGACGGTCAGACATTTACATCCGTTGCTGTGTTATAATCTGTATAGTTCTACAGGTGCGCAAAGATCTCGTATGTTAACAACACTGTATAAAGATGAGCGCTGTTCCAACTTAACGGCATATGGTATACTGCAAAAAATGTATTTCGAGAGGCTAATTCGAAATGATGAGGTGAGTTTTTGTTGGCATTTTTTGATTATGTTTTCTTTCTTTTTTTAAGAAATTTCTCGAAACTTTTCGGTGTTTGCTTTTCTGACTCGGAATCTAAAAAAAATGGAAGATTTCTAAAATTTATAAAAGTCGATATATAAAGTTTTCGAGTATTGTTTGTAAATTACACTTTATACTAAATTAACCAATAACTTTACAATTGCTTTGTTCATCTTGAGGTAATGGAATTTGAAAAGTCGTTATGTTCACATCAACGAGTTACTCATGGCGGTTGGAGTCTTCTTCAGCGAGCTGTCATCGAGCACAATTTCACTGCAGTTAGCAAAATTTTCACCAATATTACATTTGAACAACTTGCTAAACTTCTCGACATTGATCGTAGACAGGTTCTTCAAATTTTATATTCCATATTCGCAAGTTATATACATATCTTTGCTTCGTTTCCTATAGACATCAATAAAAAAGAAAAGATGAAGTATATTTTTGTTTTCATTCATATTTTCAATAAACTCATTAAATATGCACAACTTTGCTTTGTTGTGTTTGCTTCGTTTCGAGTTTCAATTACACCTCCCATATTTCATTCTTTGTTGACGAATGTTGGAAGAAGCTTTTTTTTGTCTTTTTTCTAAATTCTCAATGACAATTTTAACAGATTCCACATGCTTGCGTATGGTTTTGTAAATTCTATTCACTCATTGAAGGCAGAGAAAATGGCATGGCAAATTATCGCTGATGGACGTGTTGGGGGCATCATCGATCAGGTCGATGGAATTGTACACTTTACTCGTTAGTATATTTCCTGTCTTACTTTATTGTTCTTAATTGGCTGTATGTTGATATTTGATTTGCCCTTTCCTTAATGTCCCTTAATTTTTTCATCTTTAATCTGTCATGCATTCTGTTTCAGATGGTTTACACCGTCTTGTTCTGAAGTGCAGTGAAATTATATAAGTTGAATTGTGGCATTAGTGCCTTGTTAATCTGAATTGTCTTATTGAAGATGCTGTGGATGAAGATGCAGTACCGACAAAAGAAGCTTTAGCAGAATGGGATCAACATATTGCTGAACTGTGTCAGGACGTGAACATTGTCACTGATATGATCATCCAGAAGCATAAACTATGGGTAGATTCACGTAAGCCTGCGGCTTGAAATGGTTTCGACACCGAGATATGGATTTCTCATGGCATGGATAAATGGCAAATGTCCCGGTGTCGAGCAAGCCGTAGCGTTCTAGCGGGTGACTATAATATTGTGCATTAGTTGTATATCTGGTTAATGTGGAAGCTGCAATAGGTTCGTTTTCAACGACAATAACTGGCTGATGTGTCATATTAAGTACATTAATATGGCATTTGACAGTTTGTCAATTTTAACATGACTAATGAATTAATACTCCTGTTTTTAGCAGGCGTATTAAAAAGCAGAGCTTTCTGAAATTTGTACATTTATGTAAAATTGCAGAGTTCATATATGTTGTATTTCTTTTCTACTTTGTGTTTGAAAATAATTTCATATTTCTTATTTGAATGTTTTGTATTTCATATTTTAATATTTCGTATTTATTTTAATATTTCGTATTGTTTCAATATTTCGTATTTATTATATGAGGAGTCAGTCACAATTGTGGTATAATAACGATTCTGATTGTGTAATAGATATTCCTAAGCTTTTCTACTATTTCATTCCACTAACGTTGTAATCATACTGTTGAATTTCCGTAAAAGTGCTTGTATGGTTTTTTTTTTTCTCGTTATCTTCTCTGCTACGTGTCAAGTGAAGAGTTATCCGCAAATCATAATTTCGAAAATGTGTTATTGCGAGGAGAAAGTTTTTTTCGAGTTCTCACTGCTGCAGCTGCTGGACATTCATCGCCGAAAGTTTTTTAAATTGGGATAGCCTACCCCTTCACTACAACGACGTTATCGATGATACCACTAATGCCTTTCCTGGTTACTTGCAACGGTTATTGAATGTTGCTGTTGCATCCTGCTCTGGCTGCCTTTTAGTTTGAGAAAAAAAAAAGCAAAAAAAAAAACTATGAGTTGGCACCAGCTGGTACAAATTACGAATTACAACCAACGGCAATACCGATGCTCACATAAACATGTTGCATATGCATCATATGCGTGTAAATTTTTGAGCTTATATATGTATATACAAGTTTTCAAACTTTTCGACGTGAAAAGTTCAAAGAAAAAGGAAAGTACAGCATGATATGTTATCAGCTAAATGAGAAGAAAGCAACTCCCATCTAAATGCTTTCTCGTTTTATCCTTCCATCTATCTATGTATGTATAAACCATAAAGTATACATCCCCGTGTTATGGCGCCTGTTCAGCGACAATATGCTTATTCATAATTGCAAATTTATTTTGGTATTTCACCGTTCATATTTCCTGCTTTTGTTGATTGTACACGATGAAATTGTTGAAATAAGCATATTTAAGTAAACCTGTACGACAACAATCCCCTAGTCAAAAGCGGTTTCCGATCTAAAATGTTTTAGTGTGGAAATCCATAAATTTCTTCATTTTACTCGGGAGATACATCGGTGAGGACATGTAAAAAGTTTATATATAAATGATTCGGAAATAAATGCACACCAATATACTTTGTCAATTTATTTTATTAATTAGCTTGAAGTTTCAATGAAATATATAAAGCATTGTGTGACTAAGAGCAAAAGATAATGTACGCAATGTATTTGAAGAACAAATCACTCATCTTACTGAGATGTCAAACGGAATAATTATATTTTCAATAACTTATACTACGTTCTACGACACTTATCGGTACTATCGGCAATTAGTAATAAAGACCGATGATGAGCAAATAAAGTGATAACTGCAGTAGGACTACTAATAACAACTATGGTAATGACAATAACGATAACAGAGGTAATAACGGCAATGTACAATCTTATTCAACGTGCAATCACGTCACTAATGTAGGATGTAACCTGCTCAGTAACTGCTAATACTTATCTAATGCTAGCAAAAAATACCATCCTTTCGTAGGATCACGTTTGTATATGCAGTAGAAGCATTATGCAACTTGTACTATAGCGCTATCCTCAATTTTATATAATTTGTCTTTAGGAAATATATAAAATCAACAATCACTGTGCGATTCCGTACCATTTCATCGAAATAATGCAGTATTGCAACTGCGACGTGATTCCCGTGATTGTAGTATTTCGGAGATGTGATAAGATTGCAAAAGGTGTCAAGTGAAACATGCTTATTCTGTCGTTTTACGTTTAAAATCTGGTACTGTTTAAGATTAACACGGTATCAGTGGCATGAGAAATGTTAACTGCCGCCGTGGTAAATCATCAGATTAACCGAATATATTCCAGAAATTCAAAACTTTTTTCAATATGTTTCTTTGGTATATTTTGTTATTGTAATTATATTCGATTACTACTGAAAGAAGTGCTAGAAAATTCATTAATGAATACGGGATCAGTAGTATGAAAGGTAAAAAATCCTGGAAGCGAAAAAAAAAAGAGAAATAAAAAATAAGCTGAATTTTTTAGATCGCATGACCTTCACATTGCATTTTCCACTAACAACAAAATTATGCTTTTTCTCTAACCTAAATATGTAGAATGTGTCAGAAAAGTACAACTGCAAGTGTCCATCCAGATGTTTATGAACCTCTGTTGATAGGTCCACTGATTCCATTGTTTCCAATGATTTCACTGCATTGTTTACGTGTCTCTGCGTTAGTGGCAGAGGTCATTTGCCCAGGGAATCCTTCAAACATTTCCCTTTCACATCATTTCCCCGCCGGTCAAGTTTGCGGGTTCACAGAAGCTGGGAAACGTCACTATCGCCGCGCATCCTTTCTTCTTCCCCCGCTCACCGTGACATTCAAAGAAGTCACCTCCTTCTCCACGTCTTCCACTATCAACATCGGCGTTAATAATCCCCACAAATATCAACACAATCAGCACAACTTTAATCCCGACAATAGTCTGATCACAATAAGGAATGGTTTGAGAATAGTCTGATGTTATACCAATAATGGATATGCTACTGAACTTTCCATATGATTGGTAATTGGTATCGTCAAACTGCGCCGGGAGCCTCATCTAATGCTTCGCTCCTGACACATAGATGCATGAGCCAGCATTGCTCTTGCCTTCGTGACCCCGAATGATCCACCGCCTGTGCATCGCTCCATAATTCAACTCCAACCCTTCCTTAACTCGTACTTCTCTCGTCCATCTACTTATCCTTATATAATAATCATATATCAGTAGGAAGGTACTTTTTTTTCCATCGTTCATCGGATTATTCTTGAAACTAAAGCGGTTCCCGCTGATAGTACGGGTGAACTGCCTTTCTACATCTTATTCCTCTCAGTATCATTGAATCAAAGATAAGCTTTTTTTTACTTTTATGCCAATATCTTTTGTTCATTTTGCTTTTTCAATGTTCAATATTTTTCAACATTTTTTGATAATATTCACAGATATTTCAATTTTATCCACAATATTTCAGTGTATGTATAGTTTGTTGTTGATCCGACTAAATTTGAATCGATTTAGGTTAGTTAAATTTCGAACTTCACTGACCTTTGATATTGTGAAATTAAAAGTATAATACAGTTCTCAAATGCATGCATTTGTCAATTTATTTAGGCAGTGGACCATAAAATTGTTACAAATGGTTTGCAAACGAGTGTTTGAAGCAGTGTTAACATGACGTTTACACACGTGTGACCAATTATTAATATTATTATCAATATCATAATCATTATTATTTCTTTGTTGTTATTATTATTTAACGTCATTGCTATTATTGTCAGTTTCGTCAGTGTTGCTACTATTATTATCGTTATTATAGTGTAATTATCATCCTTGCTACTATTATCTTACTAGTAGAGAAAATCACTAACCTTCATGTATCTCGGAGTATGAGTAAATGTACAACATTGGACATCATCGAGACTTCTAATCATTTCTTTGCTTAAGCTATGGCAAAAAGTTTTGCAATGAAGAAATGCATAATGTATATGAATGGAAATTCTCAAATAATACTGGCCTAAATAAATTATCCATACTAAAAATATCATTTCAAGAAAGGAAAATTGGAATTGTGACATTTGGTAACGGAAATTTCACTTATAATCCGATACTTTGTTGGACGAAAGTTTTAAACATTACCTTATGTGCAAGGTTAGTCGTTTTAAATCATGCTTTCTTGAAAAGCAGTGCTGTGAAATAACTATTGGATACAAGAGAAGTGAAACATCTGCGCTTTTTAGCAAAAATTCAGATACCACAATAACAAAAATCTTACTCTGAGCTTGTAGCATTGAGCGTGCTTTCCTTTTTCCAAATCATTTCGAAAGAATCGTTTTTTTGAAATTACGAATTCTTGACGCTGTTCCATTCATCCAATTATTCCAAAAAAAAATTTGCTTACTTAGAGTAAAATCTACCAAAATTGCTTAATGGCGTATAACTGAGAGTATTTCATAAAAAAAAATAATAAACACGATTAATTTTATTCTTTCTTTCCATTGTTAAATTTACCGTTGGAGGTTGGTGAAAGGATCACCGGAGGAAAATGACAATGTCAGTGTCTTCATTTATTCCGCAATGAGTGAAAACCAGCATCTGTAAGTTTTCATTGTTCTCGTTTTGTCCTGAGGCACTTCTCCCAAAGGTCAATTTGTCAAAAAAAGGGGTCATTTGTGTCAACGAAATTAAACATTCACTTTTCTGTCCACTCCCCCAATTTTCCAGTCAACAGATGACCCTTTTTGATTTTTCCGTATGTATATGTCCAAGACACAGATGATGATACCACCCAAGGCGAAGTTAGATTACCCGATCGGAAAAATCCGGTTCTACTGTAGCAAACGTGGTGCTCCCTACATTACTTCATTTCCTCTTCTTCTAGTAGGATCATCTTCAATGGCAAAGTGGCACTGCTAAATTCCTTCATGAAATTCAGAATTGTTTGGCATTTGATCCTAGAATTTAAAATGTTATACGTAATTTTGCAAGATTAAAACAAGAAAATTTCCATTATTTCTATCTCTTTTCAGTTTTTATCTTACTAATTGTGGCTATCAGCGCTGCTTGAAACTCTCTGAGTGCAACATTCAGAGCTCTTAATTTGAACTTTTCCAGGATAGGTATCAGTTTAGCATTTGACTAAATCATTGAGTTACTAGCGGCAGTCAGGATTCTCATATTCGATGTCGTCTTTCAACAACGGCAATAACGACAGTAAGAAGGATGACACACGGAAACAATGGAAGACGGAAGAAATAATGGGTGTGATGAACATCAAACATCAAGAAATATAAGGAAAATCATAGTGAGGCGCTTTCCCATCCCGACTGAAGTGGCGTAACCGGCGATTCTTCATTGTTTTGATCAGTGGTTCCGTGATAATGGTTCACCGCCTCTTCCTGCTTTCTGCCGCAAAACGCTGAGTACTTTGAGGCAGCACTTGAGAAGCAAACTGAGTGGGTTTACCTGCTGAGCTGAGATTATAACCGGAGAAACTATCAGGAATCAGCTACATTCAGATATAACATTTGCTAATTATGCCCCTCTTCTATCCTTATCACTTGACTTTATTCATAAAGCTAGTCGCAAACGTATCAGTACAATTTTTTAATGTTAATATGATTAGCTATAACTTACTCCAATAATCTTATCTTTTGTACTATTGAATTGATTAATCACTGCACGACTGCCTGAATGAGTCATCCAATGCTCTACAAATCATGTTCCGATAAAAATGATTTCACATAATAAATTTAACGTGATAATGATTATAAATGAAAGTTTCAACATTCCGAAACACAAACTTTTCATTTCCATAACATGCAATTATAATTGATTATTGTTGTTAATTCTTGCAGAAAGCTAATTGATATAGTAGTTGTATGGCTATCCGAATAGAAAATACCATCTTAGTTTTAGTTTTTCATACATTTCATTTTATTTTAATTAAGAAAAATGCATGTTATATTATTCGCATTTTTATTATATCGAATAACAGTGCTTATATAATCATCGTTTGAGAGGGACGATAGCGCAGCACAAGGTGGCACCTATCTTCATCACTATTACAAATTTGCGTTACGCGTTACTCTTACTTGCTTCCCTTTCCCTCATCCCTCCATTTTTCCACTTTTTTCAATTACAGTTTGTTTGAAACCTCTTCACCTCTCTCTCTCTCTCT